AATGATCACAAAATTAAGTAATGCATACCCTTTATTTTTTGTACACTCTTCAAGTACAGATGGGCATTCACAGAGATAGACCATATGCTGGACTACAAAATAAATCTCAATCAATTTGAGTGAAGCCATGGGGTGTATGCCTTCTGAAAAAAGTACAATTGAATTAGAATTAATTTTTAAAAGAAAAGAGATAGAGACCAGCAGTTAGCATAATGGCTATGTCGCTGGACTCCCACGTAGTTGACCACAGTTCGGATCCCGGACCCGGTGGCTTAAAACTCACGCCGAGCGCTAGTGCGTGCGTGCCCACAATCCCAAGAGGAGAATGGAGGAGAAGAGATTGCAGTGTGGCCAACCCCCCTGGGGGGTGATTTCTCACTTTCTGTCTCTCTGTCTCTCTCTGTCTGGCGAGTTCATGCGCCCTATAGCAAAAACCTCTCCAAAAAAAGAAAAAAGATAGAACACAAATTACTAATATTAAGCATTACTATAGATTCTATAGACATTAAAAAATGATAAGAAATGTTATATACAACTTTATGCTAATAAATTCAAAAAGAGTAAATGAGCAAAACTAGCACAAGAAAAAAGATAGAAAACCTCAATGTCTCTCTATCAGTTAAAGGGACTGCATTCATAATTTTAAATCTTCACATGTACACAACCACAGGGTCCAGATGGCTACACTGGTACATTCTATTAAACATTTAAGTTAGAAATGCTACCAAGTCTACACGAACTCGGAAAACAGAGAAAGGAAACACTTCATAACTCTTTCTATAAAGTCAGCAAAATCTCAATACAAAAACTTGAGGATATTTGAGAAAAGTAAATTAAATATAATATCCTTCATGAACATAAATGCAAAAATCCTCCACAAAATATTAGCAAATTGAATAGAGCGATATATAAAGATGATCATAAAAGATGACTTAATGGGGTTTATCCTGGGTATGAAAGGTGTGGTTGACATCTAGAGACAAATCAATATCATTCCCTGTATTAACAAAATAGAGGAGAGAAGTCATGTGATTATCTCAATAGAAACAGAAAACACATTTAACAAAACAGTACCATTTGATGATTAAAAATAAAAAGTTAATTAATTCATTAAGTTTAAAAAAAATTTTTTTCTAAATATATAGGGACCAGCAGATGGCAAAATAGTTACATCGCTGGGCTCCCACATAATCGACTGCAGTTCCAGTCCTGGACCCAGCAGCTTAGAATTCATATCAGGTGTGTGTGCATGTGTGCCCAAACTCCCAAGAGAAAAGGACAAGGGATTGAAACATGGCCATCCCCCCCATGGGCGGGGGGTGATTTCTCACTTTCTGTCTCTCTTGTGAGTGCATACACCCTACAGCAAAAATACCCTACAGCAAAAATCTGAGGGGAAAAAATTTATGTGTATATATATGCATATACATACACACACACACACACACACACACACACACACACACACACACACACACACATATATATAAATACCTTTAGGAAACTAGAAATAAAATAGAAACTGCCTTCCTCAATCTGATAAGAGCATCTAAGAAAAATATATGCCTCACATATTTAATGGTAAAATAACTCTTTCATCCAAAGATATGGAAAAGGCAAAAATATCCTCTCTCAAATTTTTTCCAACATTATACTGGAGTTTCTAGCCAATGCAGCAAGACAAGAAAAAGAATAAAAACTAAAAAGAAAGAAGTAAAACTCAGTGGTAAAAAAAAAAACCTAAAAACCATAATCTATTGATGAATACAGGGACATGAATGAATCTTAAAAACATGCTTAGAGAAAGAAGCCAGACACAAAAGAATAAGTATTATATGTTCTACTTATATAAAATCCTAGAACAAGTAGAACCAGAACCAGTTTACAATGACAAAAAATGGATTAACGGTTGTGTGAGAGTTGGAGGAAGGGGATAGAGAGTAACTGCAAATAGGGAACTTTGGGAGGTTAATGGAAGTGTTCTATATGTTGATAAGAGTGGTCATTAGTGAGACCAGCAGGTAGTGTGGTGTTTAAGGCCCTGTATTCCCACATGGCTGACGGCAGTTTGAGTCCCAGACCTGGAAACTTTCTCTCTCTTTCTCTCTCTCTCTCTCTCTCTCTCAAGTGCATGTGACCTATAGCAAATTAAAATAATAATGAAAAATTAAATTAAAAAAGAGTGGTGGTTACAAGGGTATATACATTTATAAAAATTAATTAAATTGTGCACATGGACTGATGTGTTCTATTGTATATGAACTATATCTTAATTATGTTGATTTTAAAAGTAGGAAATAAGAAAAAAAATTTTAAGAAAATAAAAAGGTACACAGATATATATAGAAAATATTCGCAATGCATGTATCTGACAGGGACTTGAATCCAGGATATAGGGATAACTCTTAGAACTCAATAATGAAGGTAAAAATTAGACAAGTAGTTTTGCTTCTGGTTTTTGCCAGAAGGCGTATGCACTCACCAGTGAGAGAGAGAAAGCACGAAAGCACCGCCCATGGGGAACGGTCATGCCACAATCCCTCCTCTTCCTTCTCTCCCATCTTTTGGAATAGACGCATGCACACGCATTGAACATGGTTCTCAAGGCATCAGGTCCAGGACTTGAACCACGCAGTTGACTGTGTGAGATCCAGCTGCCTTAACCATCATGCCACAGACTGATTTTTTTAATGGGCAAAAAGACTTAAATAGAAACTTCACAAACAGTAATATATGGAGAGCCAGTAAATACATAAAACTATACTCAAAATCATCAATCATTAGGCAACTGCAAATGGAAACAGTGAAATACAATGATACACTTAAAAGAATGTTTAAAATTAAAAAGATGGACAAGGTTAAGATTTGTCATGGTTGTAGAGTAACTAGAACTCTCATATAGTAGTGGTGGCGATATAAAAGAGTGGAATCACTTTAGCTAAAAGTGGACAATTTGTTATAAAGTTATACCTACACCAGGACCAGCAGTTGGCATAATAGCTTTGACACTGGACTCCCATGTAGTCAACCGCGGTTCAAGTCTCGGACCCAGTAGCTTAAACTCACACCAGGCGCATGTACATGTGTGCTCAAGATCCTGAGAGAAGAATGGAGGAGAAGGGATTGTGGTGTGGCTATCACCCCAGGGGGGTGATTTTTCAGTCTCTCTCTTTGTCTCTCTCTCTCTCTCGTCTTTCTGGTGAGTGAATACACCCTATAGCAAACACCTCTCAAAAAAAAAATCTTAAAATTATACCTATACTTATTCTATGAACTAGCTATTCCACTCCTGGCTGTTTACTCAAGAGAAATTCAAAGATATGTCCACTAAATGACTTATACCTAAACATTTATAGGATCCCTTTCATGTCACCAAAAACTGGAAACAAACCAAATACGTGGTTTTTTTTTTTTTTTTTTTTTTTGAGAGGTTTTTCGCTATAGGCCGTGTGCACTCTCCAGACAGAGAGAGACATAGAGACAGAAAGCGAGAAATCACCTCCCCAGGGGGGATGGTCACGCCGCAATCCCTTCCCCTCCATTCTCTTGGGATCTTGGGCACGCACGCACAAGCGCCCGGCATGAGTTTTAAGCCACCGGGTCCGGGACATGAACCACGGTCGACTATGTGGGAGTCCAGTGACATAGCCATTACGCTAACTGCTGGTTCCCCAAATGTACATCTTTAGGTGACTAAATTTAAAAATATAAATAAATAAGTATGGTGTATTCAGACACTAGGAAGTTGTTTAACAATAAAAAAGAATGAACTCCAGTGCACACAATTGTGTGAATAAATCTCAAAAACATTGTGCTGAGTGAAAGAAGTCAGACACAAAAGAGTGTACAGTGTAAGCTTACAGGTATATGAAGTCTGAGAACAGGCCCACCCAACTATGGTTACAGAAGTCATAACAGTGATTGCCTGGGCAGGTGGAACTGATTAGAAAGGGACAGAAAGGAACTTCCTGGGGTGGTAAAATTGTCCTACATCTTGGTCGTTGTGGTGATTACATAGATGTATACATTTGTCAGAACTCATTGAACTATGCACTTAAAACTTGTACATCTTATTTGTTTTGTATTCTTCTTTAAAAGTTAGATATAAAGGGGAACCAGCAGTTAGCATAATGGCTATGTCGCTGGACTCTCACGTAGTCGACCGTGGTTCGCGTCCTGGACCCAGTGGCTTAAAACTCACGCTGGGCGCGTGTGCGTGCTTGCCCAAGATCCCGAGAGGAGAATGGAGGAGAAGGGATTGCGGCGTGACCATCCCCCCTGGGGGTGATTTCTCGCTTTCTGTCTCTATGTCTCTCTCTGTCTGTCTGGCGAGCGCACGCGCCCTATAGCAAAAATCTCTCCAAAAAAAAAAAAAAGTTAGATATAAAGAACTTAACTTGGGCTAACAGACAGTATATACTTAATAACCACTGGTTCTCTCATCCTTCACCATCTGCATCACCACCAGCCAAGTATCACTGAGGTTAGAAGAAATGTATGGTCACTGGACCTCTGAGAAAGGACCGTCATTTTCCCCCAAAGGATTCACCCACAGCATGACCCTGGAGAGTTACTCTAGTGCAAGCCAGGATCCTAAGTAACAATGATGATGCCCAAAGACATTTCATCCTGAATCCTCTCCTAGGTTTTAACCTCCAGGTCTCGATCTGGAGTCCTAGTGCCCCATTCCAAGAGGATAAATCTTAGTTGGGTCATCCCATGAGATGTAAAATGACAAAGTGTGGAAGGGAGAGGACACATGGCATGGATTAGACTCCCAGGGGAACCAAACTAATGAAAGATAAGGGAGGAAAACTCGTATTGGAGCCAGATGCTGCAGGCCCATAAGTTAACGGTGTTTAGTTAGGTTCTCATACAGGAGGTGCTCGATCATTGTTTTGTGATAGAATAAGGCAATGAAGGAGCCACTGAGTTCTGCTGAGGCTGAATGAGCAGCATCCTCCAGGGCTGACCACTGCCCTCTCCTTTCTGTCTTGCAGCTCACATATCTGCCCCCGCCGTGGGGTGAGTGCCGATCCTCAGAGATGGGGCTCGACTTCTTTCCTGTTTACAGTATCACCGCCTGTAGGATTGACTGTGAGACCCGCTACATCGTGGAGAACTGCAACTGCCGCATGGTCCACATGCCAGGTCAGTGCAAGGGGACCACCAGGGGCCTTCTTCACAGAAATGAACACTAGTGGGGATCACTATATCCACGCTACTAGGGTCAAACAGATGGTGTTCTGGGAAGTTTCTGTCATCGGTGCCTAAACACTTAGAGGGCAGGTAGAAAGGTCCAGTCCAGCAACCAAGGCAGCATCTTGTGTCCAGAAGCATCCAGATGTTTGGAAAGTACTCACCCCAGTATTCAGTATGTTTACCAATTGTTCACTGCTCTTACCTTCTAGATAGAGTTTAATGTCCAAACAACTGGATGATTGCAACTCTCATATCCTGGCGTGGTACATGTTTGAACATCCAGATGTTTGCTGTATTCATCCAGATGTTTCCCTTCTTGCATCCAAATGTCTAATACCCTTTCAAATGAGGCAAAAGTCTATTAACCAGCAGATAAATGTGCATGTGCTGACCTTTCTGTTTTCAGACTAATAATGCATGTAGCCATCTCATTAGAGGCTGTCAGCATGTCAGAGGCATAAGCGTGTGGAGTGGGGAGATGGTCTGAGCAGGGAAAGATTGCTGTTGCATCATGGAAGGATGATTGGGACCAGAGGGCCTAGGGCCTTAGCTTCTAATTCAGTCTCCTCCACTCATTCACTGTTTGTCCTGGTACAAGTTACTAACCCTCTCTGTTCTCCCCTTATTGTCCTTACACATAATCCTTAGCTATAATGATCAAATTGGGCTTGGATTTTAAAGTGCTTCGTAAACTATAAAACGTCCGAGACTGTTGTGTCAGTATATTGGAAGAGGGAACGAAGAGTCATGTTGACTAAAGTCACCTTACCCTGTTATAGTCCAAGAACGTTGCTATTATATTTATGCAGTTGCTATTTATATTTAACGGTCGCTATTTCATGGTGATATCATATGTTAGTTTGTTTAATAAAACCCTTATTTTGGACATTTGGTTCATTACCAGTTGTTTTCTGTATCAGCCAAGCTGATACGAACATCTTCATAGCTAAATTCCCAAGGGTTTCATTAGCAATCGGTAATTTCATTAGTAATTGAAGATTAGAATGATTCATCTTTAAAACTGTCTCTGCCTAAAGAAGCTTTGCCAATATGATTAAGGTTAGTAGTCTTAAAATGAGATTATCTGCGTGGGCCCCATCTGATCACGTGGGTCCTTAAACTCCATGCTCCTGTTCAGTCAGGGTCAGAGGGAAATGTGACAGTGACAGAAGGGTCAGAGAGACACACTTTTATTCATGAAGATGAAGGAAGGAGGTGGCAATGAATGTGGGGAGGGACCTCTAGAAGCTGGAAAAGGCAGGAACTAGAATCTCCCCAAGATCTTCCAGAAGAACAACACAAACCTCCCAACACCTTGATCTAGCTAAGCAAATCCATATTTGAGTCTGACCTACAAAACTGTAAAATAATAAATGTGTATATACAATAAATGATAATAACATAAATTGCTTCTGAGCTTCCTAGAAGAGAGAGCAAAAAGGGAAGCATTATCATTTATACTGTTATTACTGGAAAAGAAGTAGATCAGCTCTTCAGCTCTAAAACAGGTCTTTAGGGAAATGGGATGGGCAAGACATTATGGTGGACTTTAACATTAGCATTTGGAAAAGGAAAACTAAAAGGTGTCTACAATGAGAGCCCAGAGAGGAGAATCCAACACTGGTAAATATGACTTCCCTGATGCATGGACTGAGCTACCAGCCAGTGAGGCTTCCCCATGAAACCTGGCCCAACAGCAAGCAGAAGAGGTTTTAATCATTCCACCCCTGACACTGTTACTGACACCTCAATTATTAATGTGAAATTAAAGGCAAAGCAATGAGGCAACACAAGGCAATCACTGCTCACTTACAGAAATGTGATGTCCTGGCAAAGCTCAGCCTGCAGATTAGAGTGACCTCTGCGCAAAGCTCACCTCCGTCACTTCCAGCTCTGGTGTGCTGGGAAGACAGGATGCTTATCCCTCAATCACCCATGTGTAAAACAATATTGTATATCATACCTAGAAGGGCACCTGCACAGGTTAAAGGAGATGATGCATATCCAGGCTTAGAAGGTCTCACCCACCTCGGTCCTCAAGGCAAGCTCACCAGTTCGCTATAGGAGCTGGTTGGACATACGATGTAAACGAGGAGAAGTTAGCCAGGCAGGTGCTATCTCCACTGCTCAAAGGTGAATGGCCTGCCCAAGCTCATAGTGCAAATTAGAACTGTCCCTTGACTCCAGATACACTCTGACCCATGACCCCCTCTGACTATCCACTGGCAGCCACCGCTCATCTCCACAAACGGGAGGTGCTCACTTCCCCAAGCTAACGGAAGGACAATGTTGCTGACATGCATGGCTCTGCCTGAGTAACTCTCCTTCATGTTTCTTCTCTGCAGGGGATGCCCCTTTCTGTACCCCTGAGCAGCACAAGGAGTGTGCAGAGCCTGCACTAGGTCAGTACTGGAGGGACAGATGGAATGATAGGAAGGGGGGCTGGGATTGAGATCACGGTGATCATCTGGATATGGGAGAGAGATTCTGTGGAAGATGAAATAAAAAGGAGGTGAGAGGAAAGAGGCTGGGCCAGCTGAGAGATGGAAAGGAAGGAGGCGAGAAGGATGGGGAGAAAACTGGTACAAGTGGAGGAGGGTTGAAAAGGGGGCTGAGGAATAGAAAAGATGTTTAGAGGTGGTGCTGGAAAGGAGAAGATTTCAAGGGGAACAAAGGATGCTCAGGAATGCAGGAGATAGGAGAGACGATAGATAATGGGTAGCCATGTGGGCCACAGAAGGAACGTGGCAATCTAGCCCTCACACTCTGATGTTTTCACATGAGGAGGCGGAGGTCATTCCATGCTCTGC